TCCTCGTCCTAATCCTCCTCCTCCTCCTCGTCCTCGTCCGCCTCCTCCTCATCCATCTTCTTCTTCTTCTTCCTCTCATCCTCCTCCTCCTCCTCCTCCTCGTCCTCCTCCTCGTCCTCCTCCTCATCCATCGTCTTCTTCTTCCTCTCCTCCTCCTCCTCCTCCCTCTCCTCCTCCTCCTCGTCCAGGAGGAGTTCAGTCATCCCGTGGAGAGTCTGGCTCTGACGGTAGATGAGGTCATCAACGTGCGACGAGTTCTGGTCAAAGCGGAGATGGAGAAGTTCCTCCAGAGCAAAGAGCTTTACAACAACCTGAAGAAAGGAAAGGTACCAGAGGAGAAGAACATCCTCAGATCTGGTTCTGGTTCTGTTCTCAGTAACTTTAAATGTGTTCCTTCAGGTGTGCTGCTGCTGCAGAGTCAAGTTCCCTCTGTTCTCGTGGCCGTCCACCTGCCTGCTGTGCAAAAGGTACCGAAGAACCCTCAGCTCACCACCAGATGGTTTGCTCTGGTTCAGCCGGAGGTTTGATTTTAGCTCCTACAAACATCTTCTCAAACATCATTTAGGATGTGAGAACCTCATGCCTTTGTTACCAGGTAACTCTGAGAGAACGTTTCAGCAACATCCCCTCAACATCCCCACAACATCCACAGGAAACCATTCCACCTTGAACACATATCATCCTACAGGAACGTTTTGTGAAGAACATTCTGTCATGTGAGGCTGGAGAACATCTGGACCACATTCTGTTTGGATGTTGGTTCATAAAAACAGGAAAAAAGAAAAAACACGTTGAATTTATTTGATTCTTAATTTATTTAAATGGGATAAATCTGGAAGCAGCATGTTTCCTCAGATGTCTCCAACACTGAGACCGACTCGGACACTGTCCATGTTAAACTTGTTCATTGTTCTGGTTCTGTTGGTCTCAGCCGACCCACTCACGGCTCCGTGCAGAGGAGAGCAGAATTTTTAGCTTTTTGCAGAATCTGAACAGTACCAGCGCTTTATTTTTGGTGGATTTTTTAGTAATTTCAATGAATTATCACAATTTTAGCTGAGGTTTGGTTAGTTGGTTAATTAAACTGAGAGGAGAACGCGTCACGGATGAAAAGCTGATTATTTCTGTTCATACAGCTTCTGTTAACGGTAAATTAATTTGAATTCTGCTGTTTGATTTGAAGAACTTTTCAGCCCCACTGCTGGGTTTTGTGGTTCAGACGGTTTGAAGCTAAACATAAAGCAGCTGAAGCGTCCGTCAGCGCTCAGGCCTTAAAGGTGAAAAGTCTAAATTCATTCCAGCAGATTTACTGCATTCATGAGGTCCTCCTCATCTCAGCCCTTTATCCAACTGAACATTTAAACTGTTTTCTGCTCACATTTGCATGCAGAAGCAACATTTAGCCAGAATTTGTTGTGAGGTCTTGTCAGCGTTAGCAGCAGGCTAGCTGCTAGCATGTTGTTTATTTACGATAAATCCACTTTTAATTCACAGTTTAACTCTTTATTCTTCGTTAAAACCTCCTCTGGTCAGTTTACTGTCTTGTCAGACTTGTTTTCGGCACTGAACTGTTCAAAAACTCTTTGACAAAAACAACACCTTAGCTGCTAATACAGCAAGCTAACGGCTAAGCTAATGCTAGCTTAGCTGTGACTTAGCTAAATGCGCTAAAGCCATTTAAAACGGTGACATTCTGAAGTTCTCAGTGATTTACGGATGCGTTAAAGTCAAACTGTTTCCGCGCTGCTAGCTGCACGGTTAGCCACGATGCTACAGCGTTAGCACGGAGTGTTACCATGGTTACCACGGAGCAGAGGCTTTATTGTCATCGTACAAGAAATACAACGAGAGAGATGAAAATAAAGAAAAGACGTATTATACAAATAGAATTCAACTGTTTTAAATGTTTCCCGTCAGGTGTGTTGATCAGTTTTTGTTCTCCTCCAGGTCCGTCTGTGGATCCTGCAGCGCAAAGGTAAGTTTAAAGCTCGGACTTCTGCCACCATTTACTCTGATGTCACACCTTTAACGTCACATTATTTTATTTAGTTTACTGTTACTGCACCTTTTGTCTCTTTTTCTTGGTTTATTTACATTTTAACTGATTATTACAACATTAATTATTATTTTACATTTGAACTGTTAAACACTTTGAGTTGCTTTAACCTGAAGCTGCTGTAAAAATAAATTCATTTTAATATGAATCGACACCAAAAGTCAATTTAACTCCTCTGTGCAGCTCGTTAACCAAAACTAACGAGACACATTCAGCTGCTGATGAGATTATTTGTTATCATGACAACAAGAGAAGCAGTTTTCACCCTGAACACGTGCAGATAAAACGCTTTTATTTTTAATATTTTAAATCTGGAATTACTTGTTGTCTTTTTCAGCAGCAGGTTTGGATCAAATTAAAAGCATTAATTTGTAGTTAACAGAAACATTAACAGGACTTTATTTGATGACAGTGAACCTCGTTTACATCCAGAACTTTACCTGAAGTCTGATTTATTTAACGAGCAGAAGTTTAAAGCTGCAGCTTCATGATCTGAGTTTGAGCTGAACATTGAACTCTGGTTTTCCCAGAAACGGTGAATTTAATGATCCGTATCATAATTAAGATGAATGAACTGTGTGATTTATGCTTTTTAAAGAGTCGAAGTCCTTCACCGTGGTTCTGTTCGGTTTAAAGTGATCCAACAGAACCGTGTGCGTAACACAGAGCAGCTGCTGCACAGAGGATTTAAAGCAGTTCTGATGAAGACGTGATGGTTTTTCTGTTGACGCTGATTCTCGTTGTTCTTTTGCTGGTCTTGGTTTGTCGCTTCAGTCCGGGCCGTGTTGGCTGTTTGGTTCCGTAGGTTTGGACCTTCTGTGTGCTGTTGTTTTCTGTGCTGTGACTCGTTGTGTTCTTCGACGGTTGTGGTGTGTTTGTGTCGTGTGGCTTCGTGTCTGCGTGACCTCTGCAGCCTGTAAATACTTGATAGTTTGGTTCTGTTGTCTGGCTGTGTCTGACGGTTTGGTTCTGGTTCCTCCTGCTGCTGGGCTCCAGATGAAGATTCCCTCTAAGAAGATGGCCCACATCCCGGTCTACACCGTGGGCTTCCACAGCACCCCGAAGAGCCACGGACACAAGAGCCAGGTCTACAAGTGAGTCGGACTCGTTATGTTTCAGACATGAAGCCCTCCGGCGCCATCAGCCTGCTGACGGGACGACGTTCTGTCAGGAAAAGTCTCGTTATTTCTCTTTTATGTGAGTTTAGAACAAACACCAGGCGGTGAATAATTAATGATGAGGCACCAACTAACGACTGAATCAAGTTTCTGGTTCTGATGATTCACACGTCGTTAACTCGTCGTTTATCAGTCAGAATTAAAAACTGTAAAATGTGAAACAAACCAGAACGAAAGGAGACGAAACAAAGAGATGTGACACAACACAGAGGACGGTCAGACAAACGAGACACAACATGAAACAAAGGATTCACACACAAAACGACACGATACCAACAAGACAAATGAAATCAAAACCACACAAATTAGACAAAAAACAACAAAAACGAATAAAACCAGACTCAGTGAGACACAAACCTACATTTGTGGTTCATAAATTCAGCACATTATCTGAAGTCTGGTCTCGATATTAAACCGCTGATCTCATTTGGCTTCAAAACTTTGCAGAGACCAGGATTCATGCTGGTCTTCTTCTCTCCCTGATGGTCTACTGAAGCTGCACAGCCTTTCATTAGCGTCCAGAGGCCGGCTGCGGGCTTTTATTTTGTAGGAGCGTCCAGCG